GCCCCCCCCCCCCCCCCAAACAATAATACACAAAAGCATAAATAGAACACACGTGGATGAGATGCTACTACGTCTTACATGCCGTCACGCATGACCATGGATGGATTTTGGTGCGACTTTGGAAGCAGATTTTTTTCTTAAAAATGATGGTCGACTTTTGAAATGTCTAAGCGATTTTGGGGTTTTCACTGGACTACAAATATATCACATTTCAATTTATGGGCTTTGACGAAAAGCACTGTAGATACAAAGCTTTGTTGTACATGTCATAACATACTCTGTATATTTTCAACGTGCTGCATGTGTGACGCTGAATGGCAACAAATTTAGTTTCAGTTGATGGTTCAATGGCTGTGATTCTGTAAATACAAGCAATGTGAAATCATATGACCATGGTGTGATTTTTTTTTTGGGGGGGGGGAGCCAAACCAAAGCACACCTTTCAAATTCCATTTGTTACACTCAAAGTTGCACCACTGTGACAGAAGGTTAATTGATACAATAAAAATGTCAAAACGGCAATTAAATACACGCTGAAAATCGCCAAAGCAAAACACAACAGTTTCCCTTCTACATAACACTTTTTTTTGTGGTATTAACGGAATACATCCCTTCCATCGATGCTGCCATTTTTAGGGGTGAGCACCATCTAGTGGAGAGAATTCGAAACATTTTTCATGTTTCCTCAAAACTTTACACTTGAAACAATATTATAAAACACTGTCCATTGGTCCAACCCACATAATACCAAAAAGACGACCTCAACGCGCATAATTATATGCTGAAAATGAAGAAGGCAACAACTGCTTCAGTTCAAGCACTTTCCAAAGAGCATTACAAAAACTGGTTGGGCTCCATTTTTGTGGTCGGACTGCATTATTGGCCGTGTGTCTTTGAGCTCTTTGATCATGAGTCGGAATAATAAAAGTTCATCAAATGTGAAATGGTCATTCGCACTCATTAGGGAAGGGCTAGTCGAAAAATCTTTGGCCAAAACAAGTTCATTAAAAATAATTGAGGAACTAATCCATTTTGATAATGGTTGCTTTTCATTGAACATTAAGAAATATTTGTTCTATGAGGCCTGGAATCATGATTACTTTGACTTCTGCTTGTCACATCCCTCGTATTAAAAACTGCGAGGTATCACTGTCTAGTGCAAGAATTTTTTTCAAAATTTCCGACAAAAATACATCGGTAAACAACAGCAAACTCTTAAAGCTATATAAAAATTTAAAGCAGTCACATTTTCTGGAAACATTTTACGCGCTTTTGGCTTCGTCAAACTCGTGTGCAATTTTCAGGGCTGTGCTGTTGAGTCTCACAGAATGCATGTTGGTGAGAATGCTGACCACCACTCCCTGCGGGAGGGTCTTCTGCCCGATTTCCTCACTGGGCAACACCAACAGGACACTGCTGGCCCCCACAGCGCTCCCTGTGTGCGAAACGTAGTGCCTGCGCTTCCTGCACTGCCCACATTTCTGCTCTTTCTCCACTACCAGCCAGCCTTGGCCGTACCATACGTCCTTGTCCCAGTTGACCTCCGTTTTGTCCGCCGGCGTCCAGAGTTCCACAGCGGTTTGGGGTTTGAGGAAGCCGGGCAGCAACCCTTCAGTTTCCTTAACGTGGGCCATCTGGTAGCTGTAGAGCAAAACATTACCAAACAGCAGCAGATCCCCCACCGTGGAAAGGAAGCCGCCGCCTGCCCACTTGTACGAGTTGTCCACGTACGGGCAGTTGACCACCCGACCTCGCTTGTTCAGACGGTAATATCTGTGGAGGAAAAGCATTCTTCAGCACGTGTAATCAAAACAGACTTTCAAGAATCAAGAGTTTTGGTACACAAGAATAGAAGTTTAAATGCAGGCATGAGTGAGTAATGATTCCAGCGGGCCTTATTTCAAGGTACTGAGTACTCCGGATGGATGCCAATACGGGTCAACGACGCCAGTCACTGGCACCCTCTTGTGGCTGATACACACTGCTGACAATCTTTTTTGGCCCCCTCCACCATTTTAAGTTACCCACCCTGATAAAGTGTGCCCTAGAATTTGATTACCTGGAGCGATGGTAAATGACGGGTTCGTTTTGATCTGGCACAGTACTGAACATTCCAAGTTCCCGGAAGAGGTTGGCCATGACATCCAGGAAGCGCTGGCCAGCAGCCTGCTCGATGATAGCACTGAGGAGGGTGTAGGCATGGGTGGAGTACAAGAATGTTGTGCCTGCAGGAAGAGGAAGTGGAGTGAAGTGTTAATTAAATTACCAAAACTACAACCGCTTCCTCATGACGCAATTGAGCAAGCGCTGCGTGTGTTTTACCTGGTTTAAAAATGAGCGGGTCGTCCTTAAAGAGGTCCAACGCCTGAGTGACACTTTCAAAATTGTCCGTCAAATAGTATTCTTCGTGGTCAAACTCTTTTTTCTGCTTTCCACACGAAGCCTCTTTGGATTGGGCGCTCTGCTCTTTAGTGGGCTCACCTTTATTTTCACACAAGCTCTTATCCTCCATTTTCTCCGTCACCGACTTCAAAAGTCGCTTGGCTTTCTCCATGTCCTCCCTCACTTTAGTGGCGTCCTTCTCGTAATGCCGTATACCACTGAGGTGTGAGAGAATCATGCGAGGGGTTATTGTGACCTAAAAAGAGATGAAAAAGAAGATCATGTCTTTGTGGGTCAGGTTGCAGAAGATGAAAAATGGATCTGCGTTAAGTTGAGGTTACTTACATTCTGACCATCAAACTGTTTTTGTGGAAACTCTGGTACATATTTCTGGACGGGCGCATCGAGATCAAGTTTCCCTTCCTCACGGAGGCGCGCAGAAACTGCAGACGTCAAGGACTTACTGATGCTGGCAATTCTCATCACAGTTTCCGGGCCACACGGAACACGATTCTCCAAATCGGCATAACCGATCCCTGAAATCCATTGATCATTTGAAAGTGTCAATGAATAACTATCTTACGACAGTAAAATGTTGACCAAAACAGTAGGGCCCGACAGATATGGATTTTTGAGGCCGATTCTCATATTTGGCAGAATAAAATTCTGATAACTGATTCATCGGATGATTAATTAAAAAAAAAAGATACAACAAATAAAACAACTTTTTATTTTATTTTTAGTCTCTTGCCGTTTACAACAATACGAATTACAGAGAGACAATTTCGAGAGACAATCGGCCACCCTATTCAGGTTCTGACCCTTATGTGGTGAGCGATAGAGGCTTTTGAGAGAGTGAAAGTTTCCCTTTTTTTAATATTACTCGAATTAAACGGACTCCTTTGTGAGACATGCACGAACCTTCACACCAGACAGTAACTCCATCTACCGACACCCCCACCACCACGCCGGGAGCTCCAAACTCAGTCTGACAAGAGAAGACCCACATAAATCGACATAGCTGCCGCAGCAAAGCCAGACTGGTGGAACCTGATCACGTCCACATTCCTGTCTGCACACCTGGGCGCCTACCTGGATCCGTTCCACCAAGATTCGGCTCGATTTGATTGCAGCCTCGTATCGACGATTCGGTGGTTCCGTCGCTGTATTGTCACACAAACCGTTGTTTTCCCTCGCGTGATATTTCAGTCCAAAGACCACGGCAAGACCCACACCGATCCCGCTGACCCACACCAAGGAAAACCGTGTAAAGTTTTGTGACAAGGTTGGGGTGGCGCCGCTCACGTAGCATCGTCTTTGGTTCAAAACATTTGGCAGGCTGCGCGGCCTAGCTCGCGCAGCAGCTTTTGCGATCCGCAGAGCGGACACACGCGTGGGCAAAAGTATTGAATTGACACATAAACTACGTGGCACCAACAAGTGGTACATTTTAAAGGAATAAAGCGTCTTTTTCTTGGTCAAAACACTTTGCTTCGATGGGACGTAGGTTGGAAAACTCCCATTAGGTTTGTCACGGCGAGCCAGACCTGATGAATTGAATACCGATTCTGAAAACATCGAGCGACCGACTCAGCCATGCAAATGTAGGTCAGCACAGCACTACCCTCCAACATTTGATCACAGGCATAACAATTGACTGGAGTGCAAATCATTATTCAAATGAAAGCCAGATAAGTCAACATTCAATCCAGGTTTGCAAAGATGATTCAAAACAACTCCAGACTACGACCAAAATAATAAACAAAACGCAAGTACTGTATGTGGGGGCAGTCGACCACAAAATTACTCAGCTGACAAAGTACCACAATATTGACCAAGAAGTGCTGTACCAGGTCGGGGGACCCATCAGAAATCCGATTAGCTCCGGTTCAGCCGCACAGCATTTTATTTTATATTAATAATATAAAGAGAAAATAATTTAAACATATATAATATTATATAATATATATGTTTAAATTATTTTCTCTGCCCCTCTCTGTATCGATCAAGTCCCTCTTTTGCCCTGGGAGAGAAAAAAAAAACCCAACCCACCGCCTCCCAAAAATTAAAACAGTGGTGTAGTTGTGTTGAAATAAATATGAGATAATCACAAAACTTTGAACACGTGCTTTAATTTATTTCAGAATTTAATCATTTCAAATACGATAAACATTTGAAACATCTACTTTAAAAATGCTAAAACAATGCACAACCAGATGTCTGAAACCACACAGACAAAATGAACAAATTTAGGACTGTGGCTGTTACAAACGAATACAGCCTAAATATGAATAAAATAGCACCAGTTTATTTACTGAAGTTTCACAAGAGGAGTGCGCTGACAGTCTTTCGTGACGAATGCAAAAAAAAAAAAAAAAAGGCATTATTGTGAGGTGAAGTGCTAAATTTCTCCACTTTGTCCTTTGGTATGTGCAAAACTTAAGGTGGAATAGAATGTAGCTATCAACAGATGTAAAAATAAAAATATCTATGTAACCACAGTCACCTGTAATTCCACCCAAGGATTGTTACAGTATAAAAACTGGTTTGCAAAAACAAATATGCTTCCGACTTTAGATTTATTGGAAGGAATGGTTACATTTTACTTCCCTTAGCTCCTTGGTTGAGTTCCACTGAAGGCAGGTTGGTGCAAGAAAAATAGCATCTGGCTGGTTGCGCTGCACCATGGACAAGGTACAGGTTGATTGGGTAGCAAAGGTGCAAGTACAAAAAAGCCAAACTGCAGTGCATGTCAGGGTTAGACTGTGCTTTCACAAATTATTCAGTTCCATTAGAGTCTGGTCCAACATCTGGTGCATGTCGAGATTCTCCTCTTTGGCATGGGCAAGTTTTTCTATTGGAAAGTTAAAAATGCAAGTATTAGTCGCACACAAGTGATTATGAGTGTCAGCCGGTTGGACTATGTTAATAATCTAGCTTGTAACACGTTGAACCCGTTTTTCACAGCATCCAAAAACAACAACAACAAAAACTCACGAGGGTTTTGGGGAAAACCATGCATAGAGTCAACATTGTTATTCAGACTGATAAAGGCACACTGGCAAAATAATTTTTTAAAAAATTCCACAATTTTCATTCATGTGCAAAACATATTTCCTTCTCAAGGCCACAGGTAGTTTTATTAGTCACATGGCAGCTACTCTGATACATCATTTTAGTCAGACATCAGGTTAAAACGGGCGAAGGAGGAGAAAAACATTACAAGTGCTGAGTCTGCTGGCAGCCAAACCGTTTGCAAGAAAAGGTAGCCCGGATGATGAAAACATCTCGATCATGATGCGCATGAACAGGATTCATTGAAATATATTTACATTTACGCCCAGAATCATCAACAAAGTGATGGAATCTTGAGTTAATTTATATTATGCGAATGGTTATCTTTTAATCGGGAAGGACACAAGAAAGTGTCAGAAAACATTCCCAAAATTATTTTTTGTATTCATTTTTTAAACTTGACCCCCCCCCCAAAAAAAACTAGAAGAAACCTCAAATACATTTTCAGTTGTGCAATATATATATATATATATATATATATATATATATATAATTTTGGTGAAACAAGATGGTGATTGTCTCTTTATTTATTTATTTGTTTGTTTGTTTGTTTGTTTGGACAAGAACTGGACCTTTAGTTGAAACAGAGAACATTTTAAAATCAGTATCAATTTTGGCCCCGAACCTTTCGGAAGTCTGCACGTGTCATGCTGAAAGACTTCTCCCCTCCCCCACCCCCACTCCAATCAGTGGAAGGAACGCTGCCCCTTTAAGCAAAAGGTGCTTCGTTTGAGGGTGTGCACACTTATGCAAATTACACATATGTTTCCATATTTCATATATTTTCCCCAGGGATATTCCAGTTGAAATCCACTCAACATATCGTCACGACTAATATCCTCCTCCTTTGTGTAACGTTTTTTCAGAATACCTTTTGACAGACTCACCGCATGAAGTCAAGAGATTGCCTTGCGAATATGCACACGCAACAACATTCAGGTCTTATTGTTGTTCTGGTGTTATGACTCCAGGACAACATCGACTCCTCAATATCTGAAGCGAAATGAATCGCTCAGCTGCGTCACGGTGTCTACAAAATGAAGGACTTAAGAGAAACCTGTCAAACCTGCTACGTATTTATCTTTCGATACTCTGTTAGAACTAACTTGGCGGGGCGAAAAAAAAGCATTGTCCACCATTGTTAGATTTAATTTTTTAATGAATTATTTAAATGGACATGATCAAGAAATCGCCTTCGAGCTTTTTGATGGCCATTGTCGTCGTCCTTCCGAAGAAATGAATCCTCCCCCGTATTGTTTTGGTTCGGTGTGATGACATGATTGTTACTTTGTGATATTTTATTCAAATTCAGCTTTTGATGTTTCGCAGAATGCACGAGTGCCGTTCCCAGGTTGTCGCATTCGGTACCCGAGCACACCCAGT